AGGGCGAGGATGGAGACTATGCCGCCGGCTACGAAGGCGACGAATCGCGCTATTTGTACTGTCATGATCTTTGGGAACTGTTCCACGTAGCGAGAAGCGAATGGGTAGGACATGTTTACGCGGTTATCGAATAGGTGAGGTAGTTCGTTGAACTCCCTAAACTTCCATTCTGCGAGCGGAGTGTACTGTCGTGACCCAAGTGCCGCCGGATTCTTGTGGTATTCCTGTAATCTTGTAAGCAGATGAAATCCGAGGCAAGCGCAATACTTACATTGAAATACTGGAAGAAATACACAATGAGTGTATATAGGACAATAACAGGCGCACAGATAATGTTCATCAACCCAGCGAACAAGAACCGGCTGCGAAGAGCGTCGCTTAATTGCCGTCTCTTGCTATCCTTCAGCACCATCTGCTGGATTTGCCCTTCAGGGGTAAATATGAAATCGAGGATACAGAAGTTCAAATTCCACTGAATAGTCCTCGAAAACAGCTGCCGATTTCTGAAGAACGGGATGGGGAGAGTCAAATCGAGAATTTCCTTGTTAAACAGTGCGATGAGATAGTTCTCTTTCCTCATCAACCTGTTGGCGATATCATGTGCGTCCAGGCGCTGCTTAGACTGGGTGCCCATGAAGTGGCGTAGTGCTGGTGAAACCTTGTCTGCTAGAATCGGATTCGAATCGCGCAAGTTCATCAGCCTCGCCACTATCTCCTGCCACGATATCGTCTGCATGTCGCTCTCGGGAATTTCCAACAGGTACAGATAGAAGTCCTGCATCCGCCTCAAGCGGGAGATATCGACAATATCTAAGATGGATTGGTATATGAGATATAATACCAACAGCCATATCGCAAGGTTTGGCATCCCGGACATGTTTTTCGTGCACTGCGGTACAACAATTTGTGACATAGATGTGCTATGCCTTATCTTGCTGTAATCGACACACTGAGTGAGGAACGTTGTGAACGTCGCAACGAATACAATGCGTAGAAGGTTAAGCAGTCTGTCCAGGCATATGGGCCATATCCCAGCTCCACGGTAGTATGCATAAATCTCTCCCATAAACCGGTCCAAGTTTGTAACGTTTATCCACATCCACATCGCTCTCTCTTTTCGACTCGCAGAGAATACCCCGGGTTTGGGAACAGCAGGTTTCGGCCTAGCTGTTCCTATGTCATCGTGTAGCCGTTGCTGCTCTTGTACTGCCGCCCATCGAGCTTGGGCGTTTTGTGTTGCAGTGCCTGTTATGGGCGCAACCTTAGCTGGTCGCGGCGAGTGTTGTTGGGCACTCGGTCCTCCACCCTCCTCTTCTTCTTCGATCAGTAAAGAAGCCGGAACGTCATCGTCGCCATCATCGTCCAGCATCCTTGGTGACCGTGATAGCCATTTGGCTTTGGCGCCGCCCTTCCACCTCCGGTCCCTGCCGGGGCTCTTGTGTGGTTTCTTCTTTATTTGCTGTGCAAGAAATGCCGTGCTTTCTGTCGTCATACGGCTTTCATGACCGTCGAAGAGGTCTTCATGTAGTTCGTAGTCTTGGTATCGAGTTGAAAGGTTCTCCTCGTCGATGGCCATGGCAGCTCGCTCCTCGATATCTCCGGGGTCCGACATGCCATGGTCGCCAGCCCTTAAGTCTTCGTAGATCGATGGTGCCATGTTGTTAGACGGTAGGAACCGCGATAATATGTTTGAGGCCATCCTGCTGGGAGAGCTGTTGATTGTAGCGGGGTGTGTTATTGCTAGCGCGATTTCGCCCACAGAAGGACCTGGTATTGACGCCAGCAAACATTACTTCTCAAAGAAATAACACATATCAGACATCCTCCCAGCTATTTACGTCGTTTCAAGGCAACTTCAAGGCAGTTTCGCAGTATCTGTTGCTGTGAACTTCTGTGTGCATCGTGATCATCAAGCTACCAGTCACAAGGTTACCTGGTAGGATACCTGGGGATGGATCCGCTGCCAAGCGACGGCCGTTCATCGGCTCGGAGAAAAAGTTTTTCCGAGGAACTATTCTGGGTGAGTAACAATCGGGAAATTTATATGCGGTCGACGTCTCTCTTTGTATTTCAAGCCGTTGTATATGCGGCGCAGCCACGATTTTATGACGATTGGAAGCTTATAGGCCCTTATTTCTTGGACGCGTTTTCTCGGCGCGGCGCTAATCGGATTTCCAGCGGCCCAAGGAGGACAAGAAATCAGTAGCCATGGCGGGGCAACAGAAGAACAACACAAAACCGGCGGCCAAGGGCAAGAAGATGGCGCCAAAGGCGAAGAAGGCTGATGAGCGCGAGGAGACGTTCCAGGCAGTGGTATGAAATATTTATCAGCTATTAATTTATCAAATACTAACTTGCGCCAGGTTTTGACGGACTCTTTCGAGACGCGCTTCCTCCCATTCTCACTGGAGCGACCAAGAGTGAGTTCTGCCCATGCGACAGGCAGATCTAGAAGCGCGACGATCTTGCAATTTGTATCATATTACACTGGCTAATATGAAAACAGTGTCTTCTTCCAATCGGCAACACGCCAATGATTGATTATACCCTGGAATTTCTGTCTTTCAACGGGATCAGAGAGGTTATTATCTACTGCACGGCGCATACATTTGAAGTGGAAGCATACTTGCTGGCTTCAAAATGGAATCCTGCGACCTCCTTCGCCTCGCCATTCTCAAGTCTTGAGTTCATTCATTCTCAGTCCACTTCATACGGAGATGCCATGAGAATGATTGATAGCCGCGGTATCATTACCGGCGACTTCCTCTTAACCTACGCGGATGTTGTCTCGAACTTACCTATCGGTCCCATACTCCACAAGCACCGAACGAGGAGAACCGACGATAAGAATGCAATCATGACGGTTGTCACAAGATACGGCGGGCCTGGGCAACATCGGGCCAAGCCCAAGGCGGTTGTTCCGGTGTTTGTTAATAACCCACGCAAGGATCGCATTCTTCACTATGATGAGATGACTCCTTTCGATGAGAGGAAATACATTGACCTGCCAGTCGAGGTCCTAGAAGAGCCTGAGTTTGAGATGCGTGGCGATTTGATTGATACGGGAATCGATATCTGCACCCCAGACGTCTTGGCTCTTTGGTCAGAGTCATTCGACGCGGAGAAGCCGCGATCCCAGTTCCTTCACAACATCCTGAAGGATTACGAACTCAATGGAAAGACTATCCATATTGAAATCGTCGACAAGCATTACGCTGCGAGAGCTAGCACCCTCCAACTGTATGACTGCGTCAGCAAGGACATCCTCGGACGATGGACGTTCCCAATGATTCCCGACAACAACTGGGTCATTGATCAAAAGTACAACCGTGGTGCTGGTGGTATAATCAAGGAGGATGGTGTTATTCTCGCCCGCAGCTGCAAGATCGGCAAGAAGACCGTACTTGGGAGAGCAACCAGTATCGGCGATGGCACAGTTATCAGCAACTCAATCATTGGCCGTAGGTGTCAGATCGGCAAGAATGTTGTCATCGAGGACTCCTATATCTGGGACGATGTTGTTGTGGAGGACGGTGCTCACATCCAGAAGTCCATTATCGCTAGTGAAGCTGCGATTGGTAAATCTGCCGCCATCCTCGATGGAGCACTCATTTCATATTCCGTTAGAATCGGAAGCAACACTACAGTCAAGGCCGGCGAGCGCATAACTAGAGCTAAGCGCAAGCGCGAAAACGTTGATGGCGAGCCTCTTGCACGAGTGCCAGCAGACACCGCAATTGTCGGTGAGGGAGGTGATGGCTATGCCTACGAAGACGCCGAGGAGGATGAAAAGGATGTGTGTCGTGATCTTCTCAGCACCCTTATCTACAGCACTGCACACCTCAACCTCGCCGAAGACTCCTATTCACAGATCGGATCCGATGCAGGCTCTGACGAAGATGAAGCCGAGGCACGCTCCCGACACTCAAGTTTCGCAAGCGCAGTGTCTGATGATGAGGCCTCGGGAGACGAGTCAAGTGGCGCAAACTTCCACAAGGACGCTGTTGCGGATGTGTTCAAGACTTTGAGCGAGAGCGGCGACTTCCACAACACCCGTGTGGAATTCACTTCCCTTCGTCTCAGTAATAACGCGACCGACCACCACATGCACCGTGCCATTGCAGTTGGTTTCATCAAGCGCATTGTGCAGCTCATTGAGGGTGGTGCTGAGCCGCCCAAAGCCGTCAAGCAGACACTTGCACAGGAAGGCGCTACGGCATTCTTGTCTGATGTTGCACTTGGTAGGGACAAGCGTGTCGGGGATCAGGCTGATCTCCTCACGAGCTTCCAAAAGGACCTCTGCAATCGTGACAAGGGAGAGGCTGTCCTGTTTAGTCTCTGCAAGGAGTTTTATGACCTAGAAGTCATTGAAGAGGAGGGCTTCGAGGCCTGGTGGAAGGACCCCAAGAGCAGCGAGAACGAGCACATGATACGTGTCCGGACGATGGCAGGTGGTTTCATTGCGTGGTTGGAGGAAGCTGAGGAGGAGGATAGCGATGATGAAGACGACGAAGACAGTGACTGAAGCTCTGAGCATGTTGATTGTACACGATTTATGTCATGTGGTGCAGATGATTACGAATGAAAATATCTGGGGGAAAGACTCGGTAGTATCCTCGGCCACAGTCTCCATGACCCGGCGCGGGGGTTGCTTCAGGTATTAAGTTAGTGGGGTAGTTCTTAGAATCGTGGGCAGGTTGTAAGTTCCACGGCCAAGATTGTTCTTGGTGGACGCCTACCTACCTTTACTATAGAGAGAAATATATACACGATTAAGCAAGTTATAAATCATTGTGACATGTGTAAAACAGCTATTCAAATAATAGAATCGGTAGGATATCAAATAATGGTGGTGGGTGTTAAAACTTTTGGCTGTAGGCAGGGGTGTCGAAAGTGAGAAGCCTCACAGCCGCCCACAAAGGTTCGATCAACAAAGCCTCATCGACGACTCGAACGGGCAACCTCCCTAGTCTAAAAAGGCAAAAAATAAGCAAAAAACATGGCCAGATCCAGACTCGAACTGGAGTCTCCTGTCGGTTCTGAACCTCAAACTCGGGGTGCTTGCCGAAGGCGAGTTTGGATGTATCCAAAACCGGTTGATAATTGAGAGACGGGCATCTTACCACTAGAACATCGAGCCTTTTGAATTAAAATGAACTCGTATTAAGCGCTATATAGACCGGACGTCCTTCGTAGGGGTAAGGGGGGCTCCACAAGTAGAGTAGCTGCACAACATTAAACCGCCAGGCATTCGAGCCCCGAGGCCGATGCCCGATCGTAGTGCCCGACGACGGTCTACTTCAGCTCTGCCAGTATCTATTATCCAAATTTACATTCGATGCCTTGACATCGTCTAGCCGCGGTATGGCAAACAAAAAAAACGAAGCCCCTTCTCTATCTATTCCAGCACTTAAATGTATTTCTTATCGGGATCCGCCTTATCCATCAACTCAATGCTCTTCTCGTACATAGTAAACACAATACCACCACTAAGCATTAGTCTCACCAACCTCGGCAGCGCTCCCGACCACAGCGTCAACACGCCCTCATTCCGCACAAGCTGACTCCCACAGTCCCAACTGTTCTTATACAGTTGCTTCGCTTCAATGCTCTGCATGCGTGTCTTGATTGTGTCCACAGGCTGCGTCACGTACACCGTGATCAGACCTGCAAGACCACCAATACCGAACGTGCTGGCTGCACCCAGCTTCTCGCCGGGCGCCACGTATGACTCCGCGATTTGCTTGAAGAAGTTGTAAGACCCGAATCGAGTCGCCGAGTTGGCGGCCTGGCGTGCCGTCGTTGGTACGAAACCTTGGAAGAAGCCGCGAAGTCCGCGCTCTCGTGCGATGATAGGGACGGCGTGTAGGAAACCGCGTAGGCGGGGCTTTGCAGCTTTGCGATCGTCGATCCTAGGGGTGTTAGCTGACGGCATGAGCTTAAATAGAGGAACTGGCTTACAGTGTGGTCTTGATACTCTCGAACGGGGTTACGGCAAGCAAAGACTCAGTCACACCTGCTCCGAAGCCGGCAATGACGGTGCGGGGGCCGGAGATGTGTCCATTCTCATCTTGCAGCATGGACTTAAACTGGTCGAACGCCACGAACCGGACTCCAGCCTTCAGGGAGTTGCCGATGATCAGCGTTGTGCAGCCGGCGTACCATGCTGGGCCGAATTTGGGCCACGGGAGCTTATCAGCACCGGATAACCGTTGGTTGAGTTGTGTTCGGGTTTTGGCAACTATCTTCCTGTCAATATTTCGGTCCTCTCATTCAAGAGCGTATTCTGCCCATGAAGCTAGGCGGCGCAATCTCTCCTGAGGCGGCACCGTGCTTTTTGGGGATATTCCGGAGAATCAACCGGCAGAATTTGCAGTCGTATGCCATAGCTTCGCAGCCGCTCGGGAGGGTTCAGACATACATTCCGCAGGGTAGGTGATAGCTACAGTCGCATTATTAGCCCATGCTCTAACAAACAGCCCACCTCCAGACTCTGTTCCCAAGCAAGTTGCACTTACAAATTTCGACGGCACCAGCACTCGCCCCAGCTATCACCGAGCGGAGAGCGCTTGGCTTCTCCTTGCGCTTCTCCGGCGCCTTTGTCGTTGACGCCATGGCGCCTGTATGACCGAGGGTTACTCTCTGCGATTGCCGATCCTCCAATGGCTTAGAGCCAACGGAAATGTCAGGAGGGGCAAAGCAATTGAGCTATTACAGGGGATCCGAAAGCGAGGGAAGGATAATTGAGCGGGTCGGCGAGAGAATGGCGTTGAGAATGTACACCCCGCTACGATAGGAAATAAAGTTTTGACGAGGTCCGATGCGGCGTCGGCAATTATGACGAAATATCTGGGGCACAGGGGCCGGCGGCTGCATTGACCTGGATTAGCGCTTAACGAAGCAACTTCGCGTCTCAGACTCTAAACGCCCACATCTCTCATACAAATATTACCATTACGGATCATGAGCTTCCTGGCGGAGAACGTCAATGCGAACCGATAATACGAAGGTATTGTTTGAAATGCGATATGTAGTAAACGCTTTTTCGGCATTTATTATCGATTTCGTTATTTCGACATTGAGTTCAACCTCTCGCGAATTGTCTTGTCCTCATAGACAAGTGCAAAGCTACACCCTCAAAAGGCATTTCGTTCAGCGGCTTCAATGTCATTCACTGTGGAATAGAGCACATACAGAGGAAAGCTAGATGTCACGAGAATAGTTTCTTATCTGTTCATATTCTGTCTAGTCACTCGTTCCTTCCTAACTCTGTCCATGTTGCCCCATGTTCTTTCCCAATTTTGTTCATATCACCTCTCGTTCTTTCCCAAATCTCAATCATACATATTACTCCTCGTTCTTTCCTATCTCAATTCATATTTCTTCGCGTTCCTTCCTATATATATGCATATTGCCCCTTGTTCTTTCCTAATTGATCCATGTTGTCTTCTCGTTCTTTCCTATATCTTTCCATATCTTTTACCTTCGTTCGTGCCTTCCGCACTGCGTTTAGCTCTGCGTATCACGTAAACGACGATATTATCTCTCGTTTCATACATCCCATCATGCTATCTCTCACCAATATGCATGGTACCAGCTCAACATTCAGGGCGACAAACGCTGTTGCCACGGGCCCCCGTGATACAAGTCAGCCGCTTCATAAAGCCGCGAACATAATGGTCGTCGTATGGATACTGTGTGTCAGCATAACCTTCTTCATCTGCATCAATGCTTGGGCTATTCGGGCCTTTCGACAACGCAAACGCGACCAAGAAGCTACATCAGCCATCCTGGAGCGCGCAGAGTCGCCAGGTAGAGGGCTTATCATGGGAAGTCCAAGTACACAAAGCCAATTCCGCCCACCTCAATTGGGGTATCAGCTGCAAGCACTATCATCACCAAATACGCCTCGAATAACGCCGCCAGAACAGCCTAGGGGCGTGCCGGGTGACTCATCGAATGATACAGAGCGGAACGATGGACGGCATTCCGTAGCCGCTGGGAATATGGCCTCATCTTCTTACACGCCCAACGAGACCGAGGAACAATTACCAAAGTACATGGAACGCGATCATGACTTGCCCGATTACTCGGATCAGAGAGCGACGCCGGCCGCATGACGGGTGAAAAGAACTACGGATTTGTCCACAGGAGAAGGTCAGATGATTGAAGCTCTCTATGTTCCAGCGAACTTCGGATTGGATAGGACATCCCAAAAAATCGGTAAAACGGTCAAATAAAGCTTTTTGACGACGTCGTTATGAGTCTATGGTCTGAATGACAAATATCGTCAAACCACTGCACCAGGTGCACCAGAAACGATATCGCGCTTGGAACCGCGGAAATGGTGGTAAGTGCCGAAAGCCGAGTTGTTTTAATTCCGCGCTGACGGTACTACGCCAGATATGCTGGGAGTATCCTTTTGCGCAATGGGGGATCCGGCATATGAGTTAGAATGCAGCATAGCCAGCGTAATACAAAACAGTATGAACACAACACGTCTTAACCATGCCGCGGACTCTGCAACACTAATGGAAGCGGTTCATCTGTATTCAAATGCTCAATCTCATGGCCTATGCTTATTTTCAGATAAGGTTGGACTGGCGTGATTCCACTTCGAGGACGTATCAAGGGCGGGGCAAGGTCCGGGAAGTGGGGTGATGCGGGGATGGGAGAGTTGAATCGCATGTTGCTCCTGACTAATTATGAGCGACGACGAACTCATTCTCAGGAGAGCACTGAGCGGGGGTTAAAATCCGAGGAATTTATCATCAGACTCAAGCCTTAGTACTTTACTAATGCTCGCTATAGTGCGAATTTTGTATCTTTATAGCGTCCACTCGACCGAAGCTTTATTAGATCAAATTGATATATGGTTTATGGGGCACAGGCCAGAATTAGTGACATCAAGCGCCGGCTACAGGCGGCGCGTGGAGGACCTTCCCAGGCTTGGTCGCTCCTTCCCTCGGCACCAAACCGAGAGCTCCCAGACCAGACAATGGCCTAAGACAATAAATAGTACCAGCACGTTAGAGTCGTTGAAGTAATGTCTCCACATGATAAGGAAACCCGTTGGATATTAGATGAAGAGAGAGGTAAGAGCATAGTCTACTAATGATGCGCTACCAGAGATGAGTTATGTTTTTGACTAAAAACCCAGGGGTCGAGCTCTGATAGCCTCTTGTTGTGGTCTATGGAATCTGGGGAAACGTCATGCACAGCTTGATTTGACGTCGGCAACCATCGCAAAATCAATTTGGCTCATGGATCAGTAGAACAAGAAGAGTTAGGGCTCTGGGCCTCGCCTCCTTTTTGCTTCACAACTTTACTATCGCGTGAGTATCGCCGGCCTTATTCAACAACTAGGGCGCTTTAAACGGCATTTGCAAACCATCACGATCACGGTCACGAGCGCGCCCCCCTCCTTAAGCTTGTGTTTAGCTTTCAATTATTTCTTAAGACATCTGATTCTGCTGAAACCAATTTCTTTTTTGCGTTCAATTTCTCTGCTCTGCAGTGGTCAGGTTTCAATTGTTCGATTCAATTATATTTGTATACTACGATGCCTCCTCTGAGATGCATCCCGCCTGCCAAGGCAATCAAGGTAGTTGTCTCATATCACCCCATCCAACAGAGTTACTAACTACTTCAGACCGAACGTACACACGAGGAGAACCAAGAGCGGGCCTACATCGCCGCTTCAAGGAGGAGTGACCGCTCATTGGAAGCGCGTGTAGAGTCAGCCAGGCGCGCATCAGAAATACACAAGCGACGGACCGGCAGATCATTACGAGTCTCTGAGGAAGATGTAATAAACGAAGAGATGTATGAGGAGGAGGAAGATGACCTCCCACACCACTATCGGTACCTCAACGCCCATCTTCACAACCAGTCCACCGATTTGAGCCGCCATGAGTTATCAAATATCCTCACGAACAACGTTCAATTTCGGTCAGCTGTTGAAGTAGCCCTTCGGGATTCATATGCTTCACAGGCAGTTACACAGGCGGCGCAGCATGTAGGCCAGATTCCCAGTTCTTATCCGAACGTCGCCAGTATGATGAGTACGCATATGGGTTATCAGGCGCAAATGATGGGCGATGGGCACCCGCCGCCGTATGCTATGCCTAATATCATGCC